TTCCACAGGAGTGGCCCTAACACCGACCCCTGTGGAACTCCACACGTCACCTCTGTGGTCCCGTAGCCGTCTCGGCACGGGTACATCACACGTCGGTGCGACAAATAGGCCCCAATGATGCGGCACAGGTAGAGAGGCACTCCATGGAACCGGAGCGCCTCCTTTATGCAAGCCCAGGGCAAGGTGTTAAAGGCATTGGCGATGTCAAGAGACACCGCCAAGACGACCTCACCCTGGGAAACCGCCTCCTGCACGAGGGACCTCAATCGCAGCACCGCGTGAATGGTTGACCGGCCCCTGCGGAAACCTCACGGGACCTAACCTAACCTAACCCAACTCTAGGGTGTAGGAAATATCACGACGAAATAGGTATCAAACCAACAACTTTTAAATATATCAAAAACAAACTGTACTAATAAATCGTTGATAAGTTATTCATTAGATAAAATATGTGCCATAATTATAACACATTTAAGTAAATTTAACATTAGAAAATTTTTGGGCACTAATTTGCATTAAGATGAAATTTAATAAACTGGGAAAAGTTTTTTTTTTTTAAATCCTGTATTTTGGAAATTACATTTAGATACAAATTACTGAGTAATGAAATATGCATAATATTTTTCGATCTTATTTTTCTACGTAATAATAAAAAAAAAAAAAAAAAAAAAAATATGAAGCGGTGTTTTTCACAAAAGAAAGAACTTTAAAAAAAAGGGAAAAAATAACAAAATCTTCCGGTTCAACAAAAAATAAAGAAAGTAATGATCTGGAATCGAAAAAGAAGTAAAAAAATAAGTGTGTAAATGATCGTGACACGAACCACGGCCTTCTGTGTCGGGGCCACCCGATTACAGACCACGATACACTATTATGCCATTTTTTTTCGATGAAATTTGCCGTCGTATTCGAATGATATTTTGCATTCCCTGAAAACAGGGTTAAAAGGGCATTTTCTAAAAATGAAACCTAGTTAGATCGATTTTTCGCCCTCGAATCTACGCTCATACTAAATTTCATGAAATTCGCTGGAGCCGTTCCCGAGATTCCGATTATATATATACAAGAATTGCTCGTTTAAAGGATAAGAGATAAGATAAAAACAAGCCCTAGTTTATAACATTACAAGACTGCTAGCAGAACTTTACAATGCAATAATACAACAGAGTCGGTTAAAGTATATTTACTATGTTACTTTAAAATCGGTCCATATACAGTGCAATTTAAAGGTCTTTATGTCTAGTTTTATAAGTTAACGTCATAAACTATACTTTAAAGTGATTTAAAGCACGAAAAGTTTGTAAGTGACAGTCTTCAAACCGAAATCGTTCTAGCAAACTATCGTTCCACCAATCCAACTTTCCTTTACACTGAAATTCATGTGAGAGCACGATGATATCTTTTAAGTATGAAAAAAAGTTTATGCTGTTGTGAGAGAAACTCTTTCAAAGAGTTACACTCTCAGAATTCGAGTACACCCTCTATTGTGTACACGGGGGCTAGTTAAGGAGGGTCTATAATTAAAATAGTTGGAGTGTTCGTGACATAACTAATAAGATGTGAGCCGATTTGAGCCATTGAATTGTTTGCTTAGAGAATACGATCAGACTGCCAAGCGATTCAAGGATAAGAATGTGCTCAGTTGTACGGTAGCTTAAGTTGATTAAATTCTATACTTTTGCTTTTATAAAATTTTATCAATTTGATGGTATTTGTGATGTATACATATCTGTAAATTCACGTGCAAACTATAAGTGTATTCACAATCTCTTCTTAGGCACTTTCTCGTAAGTTGACGATATGTTAGACGTCATTATAGTCGAAAATCCAATGTACTGATTTCTTGATTTTACGCAAATATGACGATACATTGTGAAATGAAATTATTTAAATTTCCGACGTTTCGAACCCTTTCCACCGTTCATTGCTACGGGACAGACTGTCTGTGTCTAATTAAACGTCAAATAGTTTCATTTCACTAAATCCGACATGTTGAGAAATATAAGGCAAAAATTAAAAGTCATTGTTGAGTCCAAAATTTTCAGTACACATTTTTATATTTTTCAAGAGCAAAAGTTTGTACATTTTTCAAGAGCGTCATTAATGTTCCAATAAAAACAAGAAAAATCGTTCTAATCGTTGATTTTAATTTTAGTGCTAGTGGAGAAAAGCGTTAAGTTCCCCTTTGTACTACTTTTATGGTAATTGGAATAAATAATAAATAAATAAATTAGCGCTAAAATTAGTCTACACATAAAAAGTAATAGTAAAGTAACAACATATAAATGTCCCAGTGCTGGGCAGAGGCCTCCTCTGTACAGAGGGTAACAGGGCATAGTCCACCACGCGGCCCCACTGCGGATTGGCGGACTTCACATATCTGCGAAATATTTTGTTTCGAAAATATGCAGGTTTCCTCACGATGTTTTCCCTCACCGGTGAGCACGTCATAAGTACAGCACTTAAAATTAACAATTTCATTGGTGCCGGCGCCGGGAGCGAACTCAGGTTGCTCAAGTGTAGTATATATATTGAATTAAAGGCGAGCGCCCGGACACTGAACGCTCAGTTACACATAAAATGCGTTTTTAATGTAGATTCTTTTGTACTTTCGTAAAGAAAATATTTGTCTTGTCTGTCTTGTACAATGTACGTTTATATTTGAAGCGATTGGCGATTGATTTACATGTATAAAAGAGTTATTTAGTATTTTAGATTTCATAAAGGAAAACTGAACTGAAAAAGGCTTCAATTTTTTTTACACAAAATTCAACCGAAGTTTAGGCAGTTTGCTTTAACTAAAAGTGTGTACTAAATAATAAATAATAGCTAAGTACGTAATGAACAACGCTGGCCTCGATAGTTAATGATTATTTTTATAATATATTATTGCTTAAATGTTTTACTGCAACAGTAACAGTGCTAACTAGTTTTGATTCGAATGATTTTATTTAGTTTGATATTTAACAAAATGTGTTTACGTCAAAACCAACCGTGATTTTTAATTAATTTATATAAGAAATTCTGGAGTACATTACTTTGAAAAGGGCCGATTCTTTTAATGACTAGATCACCAATTTCTGGAAGAAATCGCTTTCTGAGGGATAAGACAGCCTCTTGTAGGTACTTCCTTCTATTAGCTTTTTATATATATTTTTATTTTTGGTGTACAATAAAGTATCAATAAATAAATTTGCCTAAATGTGACATCCTTGAGATTTCACTCTCAATTAGCGTCCAATTCAAATCACCGCCTAAGAACTTTTCACTTGAACAATACCTTAAATATAACGCGTAATTAGCGTTGCCATTTCATCATCATTTCAGCCTGTTTGAGTCCACTGCTGAACATAGGCCTCCCCACAGACTGCCATGAAGTACGATCCTGAGCCACCTGCATCCATCGACTTCCCGCACATTTGCACAGCTCGTCACTCCATCCAGTGGGGGGTCGTCCCACACTTGCCATTTATATAGAAACAAATCGGCGGTAGTATTCATTTGAGCCACTTACTTACTACTACTTCTTACTTCTATCAGGTAAGAATTATTTATTGTCTTTTGCGAGTGGGAAAACGATTTAAAAAAAAAAAAGAAAACATATTTTCTGAAAGGGAATCCAATAAGCCACTTTTGTGCCATCTCCTTATATTAATTAAATAATAGGTTTTCACTTAATATGTTTTTTTTATTCCACCTCGGCAGAGAATCGAGTAAAAAACGCTCTCATAAGTCTTTAATTTTTTTAGAAACCTTTAAGAATAAATCTTTTGCTTTTTTTTTTATCGAGAACGATTAAAAAAAAAAGCAAAAAAATTCCCCTATTTCTTCATCAATTTTTTTAATTAATAGGTCTATCAGAAACTGAGGTCGAATGTAACGACCTCGCTGATAAATAAATTCAAAAACAAAAAGGCAATGAAAATTGCTTACTGCGGTAAACTTTAATAGGCCGAGCTTTTAATAACTTTTGCTGTTAAAAGTCCGGCGGACTACCCGTGGAAGAACTTTTCGCCCCGACGCAATATTTGCTAGGAACTTTCGCCTAAGATGTTTTAAAAGATAATATTTTTAGAAAGATAATTAAGGTTGCTGCAACTAATTTATAGCTGAGGTAGATTTACGGCTGCACCACGTCGACAGTTTTTATTTTTAGGGTTCCGTGAAAACGGGACCATATTAGAAAGACTCCGCTGCTGTATCTCATGAATCGTGATAGTTAGACAGTCGAAATTATCACAAAGTTCTTTTTTAGTATTTCTGTTGCCGGTATAGCAACAAATACCAAAAAAAGTATTTAAGTGTGGCTTCCATGCAACAGACATGATTTTTTTGCCGTTTTTATTGATAATGGCAGGGAACCCTACACCCGCGAGTCCGACTCGCACTAAGCCATTTTTTTATAAGTAACCATACTCTAAAATAGATCCTTGAAAATAGAACTCCTAAATAGATTTGCGTCTCCATAATTCTATTTTATTTCGCAAATAAACGGAAATGCGCAAACATTCATTTGTTATACATTACGGGTTAACTTCTTAGAATAAAATCATACTATATTGAATTGACCTCATCAATCTTTCTAATTTTGGTGCGTAAAAAAAAGTAAAGTAACATCCAGTACATGTCTCACAGCTGGGCAAAGGCCTCCACTATTCAGGGCACAGTCCACCACGCGGCCCCACTGCGGATTACACTTCACATATCTTCGAAATGTTTTTTTTTTTATTATTATTTTGAAAATATGCAGGTTCCCTCACAATGTTTTCCTTCTTCGAGGAGCACGTGATATGTCAGCACTTACAATTAACTACCATACAATTAAATACCATTGGTGCCGGCACCGGGGATCGAACTCAGGTTGCTGGAATATATTGATTAAAGGCGAGTGCCCGGGCGGATTTTAAAAGTTTAAAGGGATACTGCGATGGTATATCTTTATTACATTAAACAATATTTTTTTTGATATTTAGCGGTCTTAATTCAAAAATTATAGATTACAGTTTGTTCAAGAACGGAGCAATGGATGCGAAGTCTTCACAATCTGGTATCAGCCTGCCTCTGTACTTGACACAGGATTCCGCGCAAAGTGGTCCTTCGAACCACGACCCCAGCATCTTCTTGCACTGAGCGCAGTTCTCCAAGCAAATCTCTAACGTATCGTAGCCATGGGCGATAGCAGGATTGGCTCTCACTTGATTAACGCAAATTGCGGAAAGAACGAGGAATGCGAACAGAATGGAGCTTTTGCTAAACATTTTATGTTTTTTTTTTCAATTTCAGACAAGTAGACAGAGGAAACTTTTGAGTGGATGTGCTGAATCTACTCCAATGCGAGATGTTTTATACTAGCTTTCAGAGCCCCTTAACGAACCATAACCTATCGCAACGGGAGAGTTACCACAGGGTGCTTCTAACTTTATTAAGCTAAAAGCACAATCAATTCGTTAGTCGGATAATTTAGTTACAGACACTGCTGTTACGAAGATAAGGGATAACGGAATGAATGACATCTTACTTTTTCTGTACCGGAAGTTATTCGTCTGAAAAAATCATCCCGATGATGGAAGGCCTTTGATACTACCGAGTTACAGGGTTAAGTTTCCAATTGGCGGTTTTCTTGATTACCAAAACGACTGACGTACATTTATGACCAGCGAGTGTTCAGAGGCTGCGTATTTGCTGAACAAGCTCTTGGCTGGATAAATTGTGTGTGAGCTTTTAATAGTTTATGAGACAACAAAGTGGTTTGAAGTACGTTGTTGAAAAAGTGAAACGAATATGAATACCTACTCACTAACTCTAATTCATGTCGATTTCCTTCCTAAAGTAAAAATATAATGACTTGAAAAGGACATAAATTTTCTTCAGATGTGCTTCGTTCCTTTAACTATACTAGGGCCGCACAGCAGCCTCGGCTGTTGCATGAATGGGCAGGCTCGTCCGGATGAGTACCACGACCTGACAAAAGACCGGTGTGACGTGGAAGTTCATATTTTAGCTTTTCGTCTGGTGAGTGAGGTCGCATCTGCAACCCTCGGGTATAGCAGATGTCTCTTAACATCAGGTGAACAGCCTGCTTGCTTGGCAACTTTTCACATAAAAAAAACCAACATTAAAACATTGTGAGGCAGATAAACTACATAATTCCAAACGATTCACGTTTCAAGTGGATTAGCAAAAGCGTTGACGGCTTTCAATGAAGGAAAAATCTCTCTTCGTGATTTCAATTTTCTTATTTTTTGTATTACTTTAGCAAACAGTGGAAAATTAACGCGAATGAAACCGCGGCTCGCAGTTAGAGAAAAACAACTGGCACTCAAAGCCTTCGTCGCCAATTCACCAGTCGTAACGAACTTTTAACAGGCTGAGGAACTCTGACTTTCGTTATAAAAAGTCCAGCGGCTATAATCCTTTGAATTACTTCCCAACTCAATGGTACCTACAAAGTTATTGGATGATGTTGAAAGCGTGGCTATAGTACTTTGTAAAGTTTTTTTGCAACGATGTGGCACGATGCGATCTATCTAGGTTTTATATTGTGTAGTATCAATTTATGAATTAACTTTAATATACAAGATAGTTCGATCCATGGTGCCGGCACTGATGAAGTTGTCAATTTTATGTACTGACATATCACGTGCTTAGTGTAGAAGGAAAAAATCGCAAGGAAACCTCCATTTTTTTATAATTTATAATAAAAAAAAATTTTACGAAGATATGTGAAGTCCGCCAATCTACAGTGGGGTTACGTGGTAGACTATGCCCTATACAGAGGAGGACTTTGCCCAGCAGTGGCCCATGTATAGGCTGTTCCTTAACTTTACGTTTTGTATACTTTTCATAGACATTGTTACAGATTTAAGGTGCTACGTCTTAACATTACTTGAAAAATGGGAATATTTTTTTTAACATAAATTATACCTCAAGCTAATTACCGTGTTCAAAATGTCGATAACTCATACACCACCGGTAGTTATAAGAAAAATATATTAAATACTAGCTGTGCTCGCGACTACGTCCGCGTGAAATTTTAAATTAAAAAAAAAAAAAGAACTTAAATAAGAACAGCCTAAGTTACTCCTTATTACATCAGCTATCTGCGAGGTGAAAGTCCAAATCGGTCCAGCTGTTTCAGAGATTAGCCGGAACAAACAGACAGATAGACAGACAAAATTTGTAAAAATTTTTGTTTTGGTATATGTACCGTGTATACATCCATATGCATTTAGTAAAAAGCGGTTATTTTAATATTACAAACAGACAATCCAATTATTTATCTGTATAGATGTATAAATGATACAGATTCTCTTTATGTTAATATCGTGACCCGCCCTACTCTATTATTTAGATAAATCGAAAGAAGGTCGAGTTATTCCTTTGAGACTACTTACCACCATCGCCAGGAATACCAAGAATAAAATGAGATTTTAACCGAATTTCCTGTACGTCGCGTACATTTATATCGTAACAAAAAATCAATCGAACTCCAGTCAACCTTCTGTTCGACACGACATGTTCACGATTATCCCTCAAGGGGGGAAGCATATATTAGGTACTATGGACTATCTATTAAATTTTCGATGATTGCATGCAGTGCCCTTCAAATCAATAGTTTTATAAATAAATACTCGTTATAGATTGGTTTGTTTTTATAGATTGGTCAAATGAGATGACTAAGACCTTGAACCTTAAACGGTGTCCAGTCGTACGGATGAAGTATGCGATGATGAGTGAAGATCTTTGTGTGATTCAGAACGCTACGCAGAAAAAGCCGTGGTAGCTCCATCGTCCGGGCGCTCGCTTATAATTCAAAATACTCAAGCAAACTGAGTAAGAGCAATGATGTCGGCACCGATGAAACTGTTAATTTTAAGTGCTGACTTACCACGTGATCAGTGGTGAAGGGTTTTCCGTCGTGAGGAAACCTGCATATTTAAAAAAATGTTTCGAAGATATTTGCAGGCCAATCCGCAGTGTGTCCGCGTGGTGGACCCAGCAGTGGGACATGTATAGGCTGTTACTGTACTTTACTTTTTACGTAAAAAAACGACGTGAGCTTAATGGATGGTGAACAAATCAGTCTCACAGAACAGGGGAAGTTAAGTGTCAGACACTATTGTAGATAGATGAAACGCGAAAGTATTATTAACCCTTTCACGGGTCAACCATCAACATAAGCTGCTGCATGACTCTACCTCAGATAAAGGTAATTTAAAGTGCAAGATTGCAACTAGTAAATTTAAAATAGAATTGTAAATTTGTAATCTGTTTTGAAGTCATTATTGGCCACATAAGATGACTAAGTAACGAAGCTTTTTGTTGCTTCCTTAATCAGGAATTTTTTCCTCACGTTATAGATTTAGAGATATGAATGCAAAACGACCACTAACTGTTACAGTTTTTACTGTGACAGGGCCAACTCGACAACATTTCACATAAAAAAGGCCCCCGCGGGGACTCAATAAGTTAGTTTAACCGCTAAAGTTACATCACTTATTTTTTGCCACTACTTCTTACACTTGTAGTAGGTATTCAAAACTTTGACTACGTTTCGGACCGATACAACGTCAGCCATGGTTGCTGTTTACTTTGATTCGTACGCAAGGGACAGCTATAAATAACCTAATTTATTACCCCAAATTGTGAATTGGAGTTAAATTCGTGAGCTTTGTATGTACATGCTATGCAGCAGCTCAGTTTAATCTTAATCAACGTTACTCATACAAATTTCATCAATTCAATTACAAGCCCGGTACATTTAAATGGGCCTACATAAATTAATACGAACGGATACCAACAAGGGGCATTCGCCGTCCGTCTTTAAACGAAACAGAACGGTATTTGATGCCATTATTAACGCAACAAAATAAATTGTCGAAAGTAGAACGTTTACGCGCGTTACGCGTTTTGTCCATCCTGAAAGATGATATTTTTAATTATAAATTAAATTACACACAGCTCTGTTCACTGTTATATAGTGTTCGTACACACGTTAGTCTGACTAGTAAAGTTGTATAGAGAGTGAAAACATAAAGCTGAATTAATTTCACTTTTATTAATATGAAAATGTGGCAAGCGAGCTGCTTTACTCAGCTCATATGACCAGCTCATAAAGTAGCTGGTTATATATATAGAAATAATATATATAGAAAAGTTGCCAAACGAGCAGTCGGTTCACCTGATGGTAAGTGAATACCGCCGCCCATGGACATCTGCCACACCCGAGGGTTACAGATGCGTTGACAACCTTTTTGAAAATTGGGCTCCGGCTACCTCACTCACCAGAAGAAATGCGTATTATACTTCCACTTTACGCCGGTCTTCTGTGAGGTCATGGTACCTACTTAAACGAGCCTGCCCATTCATGCAACAGCTGAGGCTGCTGCGTGGCCCTACCACCGTAAAAACACTTGAGACATTAAAGCTCGTGCAATCTTATCATTTCTAAGTGTAAAAAAGGCAAGTAAATCATCGCTTTCAAAAGGTAGATAATTCAAGTGACACGCTACTCACTTGAGCGAGGGAGATATCAAATATGATACAGATTTTTCCTAAACCAATTTCGTGAAACATGCCCGTCACTATTCTTTACATAGACAAGAAAAGGTCGAGGTCCTTTGTGAGCGTTTAGAGACGTCGATCCAATTTCACCTTATATTATCCAATATCGAATTTATATAATATATGGATAATGAACTCTAAACAATTTTAAGAAGCTGGTATCCTTCGATCCCGGACTGTAAAATATGGATGCTGGTCAAAAGGAAAGGTAATTGAACAATTACATAAACTGCACGCCTACCTTAGTAACTGCAAAGCGCCTTCTCCGTAGCTAGTTCAGAATTCAAACTCCAGATGCAGATGTTGTCAAAGTGGCTTGTGTCAATACCAATGTCTTTACGATGTTGTTGATATTTTTTCCCAAAAAGTATAATAAAATTTGAAATTATGAATAAATTTCTGACTTAACGGGATATAGTTTGTTTCAAATCATGCTTAGCCAAGAGTAGCCATAGTACGATATGATGTAAATGTTGCGCCCACCCCACCTAGCTGGGATAAGGGCTGGTATAAGGAGGATGATGATAAACAGAATATACACACAGCGCTAATTACATCACAACTCATCGCCATCTTTAACTTTGAAGCATAACACAATCTTTTTCTTGCCGTGAAACTATAGGAAGAGCTAAAGACTCTCAGACTTCAAGTACGCTCTCAATTTGCACGAGGCTAGTTTAGGAGGGTCTTTAAT